ACACTATGACAGCACACTATTTATTTTACTATTAGACTGGATATAAAACCAGCTGCGTGGAACTGATAGTTGGGAGCTGCCGGCTGCGTTTTAACGTTCAACACTTGTCTTCGGTAGTCTTGGCTCTGACCACTTCTCTGCACATCTGCAGATATTTACCATCTGCTGTATGATCCACTTTGCATTTTTGAATGGGAGCCATTTTACATTCAGCGCTGTAATTTGACACTAAGTTTATTTCGCAGAGCTGAACTATGCGATCACAATCAGATTGCCCCTGCAGAAGGAAAATTATGTATATGAAATAATCAGCGGGCCAGCACCAAAATTATGAATTATCTATTTGGTATTACTGATCTAAATAGATAAACAGTCACATTTTTTAGATGTCTTTGCTAATGTATTAATTCATATCTCAATCTTAGGTCATCCAAGGTTGGATCTTGAAGGTGAGTAAACCAGGAGGGAAATTCTGACATCTTTCTCGCCATTGGCACTGTCCTGGGGGTTTCCAAGTTTCCCACAGGCCAACATCCCTCCAGTTCTTGAACTGGTGCTGGCTTTCCTTGAATATGCCGAGGAATGTTCAAAGGAATCTCCCTGAGTAGCTTTACAGTCAAAGACCTGAACCACCACCGGTTCTGTTCACTGAGGAGTAGCAGCGTCTTTTCTCTGAACTCCTCACCTAGTCTCTAAAGCTCCAGAAGGTTATTTCAGCTGCCAGAACTCATGACCATAGGTGATGGTTGAAACGTTGATTGACCAGTCAGACCTCTTGACCCTTTGGTTGTTTTTTTTCACCACAGAAAACGAGAGCAACAGCTGATGGATCCTTGATCCGTTGCTTTATTTCCAACCTGCACTCACTTGTCAAAAAAAACACAAAAAGATAATAATACACTATTATTGGGGTGGGGGTGGGGGGTGGGGGGGTGGGGGGGGTCGGTCAACGGGCGATCAGGCAGGGTACACCCTGAACAAAGAGAGCCAGTCGATAACAGGGCAACATAGAGACACACAGGACAAACAATCACACACACACACACACACACACACACACACACACACACACACACACACACACACACATCTAAGGATTATTTAGACAGACCAGTCAACCTAAATCAATCTAACAGTCATGTTTTTGGACTGTGGGAGGAAGCCGGAGTACCCGGAGAGAACCCACGCATGCACAGGGAGAACATGCAGACTTCATGCAGAAATATCCCAGGCCAGGAAGCGAACCCAGGACCTTCTTGCTGCAAAGCAACAGCTCTAACCACTGCACCACTGCGCAGCAGATACTATACAGTCACGCAGAATTTCATTTTTTCATTGTATTTCCTCAGCGTTACTGTCCTAGATGATTTCATTATGCTGCCGGATAATGCTTACTCAGCATATTTCATTCAAGTCCGGTCAGATTACTGTAACCAAGGAAGAAGCACTCCTTTAAGCTCAGTTACTTTCCTCCTTCAAGGTGATAACTTCAGCTGAGTTTGTCGGTTCGATTTAGATTGAGAACAACTTTGAGGCCAAAACTTTCCGAAGCTTGAAAAACTGCTGGAACATGAGGAAAATAAATGTGCCTCGAACGGGGATGCGTTTTCTATTGCAGAACTCAACAGAGCCATTCAGAGTGGTGGAGATGAGAAGAGATGCTGGAGACCAGACTTCTGCATTCTGTCTATCCACCAACACCTCCATGCATGTAAAGAACTCATTAGTAAAACTACTGAAGCATTCAGGGGGGGCATCCCCACTAAGGCTAATGCATTATTTTCCAAACTCTCGACACGGAGGAATTTTAAGTGCGCGTGTGTGTGTTCTACTTAAACGTGGAACCCCCTTGAATGTAACACAAAAATAAGCTTCATAGCTGAAACATTAATTACATCACCAGCCATAGCAACACTACGTCCTCCATCCTGGAACTGAAACCCATCTGAGCAGGCAGAGCCTGAACAAAACACATCGGGGGTGTCAGGAATTTTTTGTACCAGGATCTTAGCAATAAATCCTTTGGGCAACGTAGGGTGGGCTGTGGGTGCTCAGTGGATTAGTTCTGCTTCCAACAGATCAAATCCCATCAGAGAGGTATCTGAGGATGCTGGATGAACATCTCAGCCGTGTTGTTAGATTGTTAGGTGTTTGGAGAAGTTCTGTTCTGTAGAAGCAGAAAAAGAGATGTGATGGGTCTGCAGAAACATCTTAAGTAGAAATGGAAAATGTAAATGATTTTAGGATCTGTAAAGGGGTCCTAGAATTCATAACTGCATTTACCTTTTTTGTTGTTGAATCAACACATTCTCACTCCCAGCGCGTCAAAAACAAACGCTTGGTCAGCCACCCTCCGCCTCAGACCCCAGATGCCAAAAGTGCCCTTTTTCGTCACTTATGTGCGAAAAGGTTTTTCCCCTTTTCTGACTGCAGATCCCAATGCAGCGTAAAACTGACGCGATGGGATATCCGCTGATGCGGCACCGAACCAGCTCATTTAACCGCACCTAAACCTTAATGTTTCACTATTTATAACCTTCCCCTCTCCCTCGTCCTAACCTTAACCCTCTTGCTACCTAAAACGTTACTCTCACTGTGATCAAGCGTTTGTTTCCCATGCATTCTGACTGTGAATTTTCGTATTTGCCGCCCAAGGGGAACGTTAAAACACACCATCTGGCGAGAGGGAGGTTACAAATACCCTCTACTTTTAACCTCCACCTTGGTAGTTGAAACCTCCCCCTCGTGTTGGCTCGGTCCAAACCCGATCAATGATGAGGCGGCTCCCGCCGTTCACTTCATACAGCCGGCTTTTAGAGCGACCGTCACATCAGTAAAGTATTCACTAGCAAGATGGTTAAGGTTAGGATAGGGGTGAGGGGAAGGTTAAATAAGAGGATACGGTTAAGGTTAGGTACAATGAACTTGTTTGGTGCCCTGGCTGCCGACATCCCATCACGTCAGTTTTACGCTGCATTGGGATCTGCAGTCAAATAAGGGAAAAACCCCGTTTTGCACATAAGTGACGAAAAAGGGCACTTTTGGCGTCAGGGGTCTGAGGCGGAGGGTGGCTGACCAAGCGTTTGTTTTTGACGCGCTGGGAGTGAGAATGTGTTGGTTGAATGCAGGAAGCTTGGATTTTCAAAAGGATCAAAAGTCTGTGCGGTCTTCGACCTGCTTATATGTAAATTAGTAATGTTGAAATGGGCGCGGAAAAAACGTTCAGTCTGGGAATTGCTGGTTTAACACATTATGGCTTAGACACACAGCCTAAAACTAAACATGTCTGAACCGACTTCTACGTAGGCAATACATACATTTTGGTCACAGGAAGGCTAACTACAGAACAATGTTAGTTTGAGCTACTGAATGTAAACCATTACTGCTAACGCAAGCCTGAGCCACTGATGAGGTCCTTGTTACATGAGGGGAAAACAACAACGAAGAATGTTGAATCACTCAGTTCCAGGATGTAACGGGAAGGTCCAGACATTGAATGAATGCCAGATAGATCCATAGCGTGTAGTCCTCGTCCTCTTCCTAGTTCATGCACAAACTCTCCACTGGACAGTGAACATTCACGTCCTTGTTTTTCCACAAAATCAATCTGCCAGGCACTCAGCATTAAGATAAAACCAGCCAATCAGCATGCAGCTCATTTAATACTGATGTCTTGGATGAGTGGGTGGAGTCTACCAGTCTTTCCATTGTGTGGCTTTGTTACAGGGTTGATTTAGTCTTTTTATTCAGGCTCCTGGGCCATTGTGAGCCCCAACAAGGGCTCAAAGAACAATTTCCAGTGGCACAAAAACTTCTTGGAAACACTTAATGTGACAATATGAGAAATTCTTATCTGTAAGAGAACTCAAGGTTTCTTCCAAAACATCTAGCTGAACAAGACATTCTGTTTCACAGTTTTGAGAAAACTCTAAATAGTTAATTCCACACCAGACCTGGGTGAACATCATTAGGATGTTGTAGCTGACATCCTTCTTTGATTTACGCCAAGTATCTCGCTCTGGATAGCAGCATCTCATCACCGCTCATTACTTCACTGTGAGTAAATCCCACTAGAAATTTAATCTGTTTCCTGCAAATGGCTTACAATTCATTGGTGTGTTAGAGGATGTCTTCTTGAGTTATTGCATTGCCTCAAATGCTGGAGGCTATTAGACTTTTCATGAACTCATGCCAGCCTACTGTGCTGTTAGAACAGTGTAAATCTGGCACCACAATGGAGACAAGATCTCCCATTCTGCGGTGCAGTGTGATTTCCACAGACAGTAATGAGTTTTGGTTTATTAACTTTTCATATTTGCATTTGATGAGAGTAATGCAAAGCCTTTCATGGTCCCCGCCTTTAACAAACGCGCTCGTCGCAGTCGCTTCCAGTTTATTGTGGAAAAGAAGCATTATAGCTGCAATTAAAATGTTCACGGTGGCAAAAAGCCAGAAGAGGAAACGTTTAATAACCCAACTGAAGCTCAAAGACTTTAATGATGGTCTGGAAATTACTGAGTCTGCTCATTAATTGTCTGACAGAGGAACAAGAAAATTAATTAGAAAAAGGTATTGATGCTAATAAAACCAATTTCTGCCAGAATTTCCGTAAATTAGATTAAACTTTACATCAAATTCAGCCTATAAAATTACACTCTTTACCTGTCTGTGCCTCAGTCTGGGGTCAAACTTAATATAATAGATGGTTTTAGCAAAAAATGAAGCCTTATAAGTGCTGAGTTTATAATAAATGTGAGCATAGAACCTAAAGGACAATTTAACAACTTTGTTGAGCAAATTTTGGAATGGACTACAAATCACCAACATGTTAGACGCTTTTATTGCCACGTTTTGGCTGTAATTAATTCCTTGTTTGTATTGTAGTTCCTTCATTTTAGTCTTGGAGTAAATAAGCTTTAAAAACTGACTTATTAACACACAGTTAGATTAAACAGATTCATAGGAAAAAAGCATCTGATGAAAGGAAAAAGCAAAACTGCTGAATTATTTATGCTTTTATGTCAAAATAGTTCACATTTTACAGCATTTTTGATTTCTTTTAAAAGATACAGTACCTCCCGGAGAAGAAAAAAAGGGATAAGAACATCGTTCACAATGTTCATATCCTATAAATATACAGGTCATTCGAGAATTAACTTCAGCATGCAACTCAGTCAACTTGTGCACACGCACACAGAAATAGATACACACGCACACACACACACACACACACAAACACACACACACACGCATGCACGGACATACACACGAGCAGGCACACACACACACACACACACACAAACACAAATAGATGCACACGCACACACGAACATACACACGTGCAGGCAAGCACGAACATACACACGTGCAGTCACGCGCACACACACACACACACACACACACAAATAGACACACACGCACACACGAACATACACACGTGCAGGCAAGCACACACATACACATGCACAAATACACGCAAACACACACACACAGACGCACACGCGTATGCACACACACGCACAAATACACGCATGCATGCGCACACACATACCCGCACACACGTACAGACACATCCACGAATGCACGTACACACACATAGGCGTGCACACACACACACACACACAAGCACACGCACAAATACACGCACACATACACGTACGCACGCACACACACGTACATGCATGCACGCACACACATACACACACACAAATACATGTGCACACACATACACGCACACATGTACACACACGGATGCACACACACACACGTACATGCACACGCGCACGCAAATAGACGCATGCACGCACACACGTACACGCATACAGGCACACACGTGCACATACACACAAATACAGGCACGCACGGTTGCACGCACACACACACACACACACACACACACACACACACACACACACACACACACACACACGCATGCACACACATACACCCAAGCGCGCACACACAATCATGGTCCCTCTTAATAACAGCTCAATTAAAATGATACAAAAACATTTACATCCGTGAACAGCTTTAGGCACACTTGCACAAATGTGCACACAGGCCCACACACACTCACATGTTTACAGACACGTTTATCATAACTCTGTTTTAGCATTCTTATCAAGTTCATTTGGAGTTTTCATGTCATTTCTAAGCCACTTGTTGAAAACAGCTACGGGGTTGATGTTCCAGTGCTTATGGAAGGAGATGGGCACCTGGTGAGCTAAGAGGTCTTTGGCGTAGTCATCAGGGCGCGCCTGAAAGAAGAAAATCAGTTAAAAGCAGCTGCAGGAAGCAGCAGCAGCATGAAGTCAATGAAATATAAACATAACTGTCTAAAAACAGAAAACAGAGAAAGCCATTGAATTTTTCAGGTAAGGTCTCAGACGTCTGTTATCTCAACTTGACTCAGTCTTTGATAAAGTCAATCTACAAAAAATGGTTTTGAGTTTTAGGAAAAGAAAAACACAGATTTAAATCGGGTAGATGAATTTGTTTTGGTCTAATTTTGGCTTATGTTTATCCTGCAAATTAAAAACAATCAACAGATGTTTAAACATCCCTTGAGGATCCAAGTGTTACCATGTATGATGCAGCTTTCAGTTTCTGAATAATAAACTAAAATGTGTTTATCTCTGGTCATCTGAAACAGGTGCTCCACACGTCTTTAAGTAACGAGCAGCCGGATCAGGTTCCTCACATTTGAAGGACAAACTTAAAAAATGAGAAACTGGAGATTATTGATCAATATTACAGCTTTTAGTTTACCAACAGGGACCTACTGGGGTCATACAGCTCCTGTCTGACAGCTTAGAGAATAAAATATAAAAATGTGGAACGATCTGTTGGGACATTCCCGATATATGGCACAACGGCACTATAGCAGACACTCATCTATGTCATCAATTTTTGCTTTTGTCAACTGCACCGCCATAGCACCCTCAAAAACAAAGATATCTAACAGCAGACATGAAGCAGATTGAAGAATAATTCGCAGAAATCGCTAAAATATGAACGTTTATTCACCCGTGACTGGAGATGTAAAAGGATAGGCAGCAAGTGTTTTATTTGTGGACAGAAATGACAGAAAACCTGGGTTTGGAGATGGCGAGAGCATGAAGAGGTGGAGGAGAATGAGGGACGAATTAGTGCGTGTTAAAAAGTCTCTTAAAGCTGCCTTCCGGAGTTTTCCCCTTTCAGAAATGATGTATGATTATTCAGAAATCCATAAAAGTGATTACCTTATCATGTACTGTGATGTAATATAAGCAACACGTATTTTATTACTTATTTTTTTGCTAAGCACGAGCCCTGCCCTGCAGAGCTCCATTCAATAGGAAACTGAGCGCCGACCAGAACTAACCAATAGCGTTAGACTGCCGCTTAGACGCTTCACATTTAAGGAATACCTCGGCTGATGCAGAGTTGATGAACCTTTCACGGACAAGAACGTCTCTAAAATGTAAATATATGAAAACACAGCATGAAATGAGAATAATACTCGTAAAACAGCATGTTTTAGCTCTGTTTGTCAGCTAAGAAGCACATTTATAAACAGAAACGTGAAGTCGCCATCTTAAAAAAACAGAGGAATAGATTTTTTGTGTGATATGCTTGTCAGCCACTAGATGGTGCCATCAGATAAGAGAAATACTCCGGAAAGAAGCTTTGAATACAAAAAAACACAATCTAAACATACTATCTTGGATCGAATACATGACAGGATACCCCAGAACAGCGCTACGCCCTCTGTTGTCCTGGCGGGGAATTGCTTTGCAACACTCTCCAGAAAACGGAGAAGTCTGAAGACAAAATGCGTCCATCAATCCGCGCGTGTCTCCGCCTTGTGGAGCTGACGCAGAAGCATAAACCAAGCTTTACAGCTGTGCTTTGTCATAAAGTAGTCCCAAGTCTAAAATGGCGCCTGTGATTCTTTAATGTTATTATTTTCACTTGCAGTCAGTCGTATTATTTAGGTCACCAAGCAGAACTGGGGTCACTACTGAGTGGTTATAAAAATGTTTTTACTCATAATGCTAGTTCAATCCATTCACTTACTGTGTTTTATGCTAAGCTAAATACCGGAACTGCGCTGCTCTGGGTGGCTGCATGTTGGAGTAGTTCTGTTGACTATATGCAAGTTTAGCATTTTCTTGGGCATTTTTTCTTCTAGTTTCTCAAGAAAAACTGTATTTTTTGGACACTTTACTTTTCTGTTTCTGGTGCTGTGAAGCTTGGAGGATTTTTACAGCTATTTTTTTTTTAGCTTTTTTCACTTTTTGAGCATTTGTTATGATGAGTAACCATGGCAACAAGCTGGTTTACAATCGGGAGCAGCTGATTAACATTGGAAAGGCTGAAATAATACCTCCACTGAAGCCACAAATTCCAAATGAGCTAAAACGCAAGAAGCGTGGGTGCAGAGCGGGAGCAAAACGGAGACAGAGAAAGAGGAAATTCAAACCATCTCTTCCATCGATCATAATGGGCAATGTGAGATCACTGGCCAACAAGATGGAGGAACTCCAAGCCCTTTCAAGGACCCAGCCAGAGTTACGGCAATTTTGGAACCGCTGGAGGAGATAATGCAAAGAAGGATTCTCCAGAGAATCAAGAAAATGATGGACAACCCTGAGCATTCTCTTCACAAGACTGTCCGACAACGGAAGAGTGTCTTCAGTCAGAGGCTTCTTCAGTTTGGCTGCAACACTGACCGCTACTGGAGATCCTTCCTGCCAACAGCCGTTGTAATATACAACAACTCTTTGATGACTTGATTATTATTATTATTCTGAGCTACTACAGCAATCAATTTCCCTCTGGGATTAATAAAGTATTTTTGAATTCAATTGAATTGAAAGCTAAAGGAGTACAGCTGGGTCAGGAGAATTACTGGGCTGGTTACAAAATGTTTTTTCCACTTATCTAACTCTAGGAAATATTATATTTTTGGGTGGAGTATTCCTTTAAGATGGCCTTGACTGTGACTTTTACCATGTTAAATAACATTTTATATCAGAAATACATCCTTGTTACTGCAAATGAAGTGCACTTAGTCCTCTCATCCATTCATCGAGACAGTTCCTGGAAGATGGTATGGTTTTAGCACTACCTCGCTTGAGGTTCCAGGTGAGCTGAACTAATAGTGATATAAACCAGTGCAGGGAAAAGAAAGTGTCAGGAAAAATCTTCACCTGTGGGTGGGAACATCTGAGCTGTGAGCTCTGCAGCACACAGTTATTATACATGATCAGAAAAGGATGTCAAATACTTTTCTGTACTAAGAGAAGGTCGTGAACTTTCCTGTATCTGTCACCAGTTTCACACTGAACTACGATAATAAGCACATGATCCTGCCAGCACTGAGAGCATTTGCACTGGGAAACAAAGTGATGAGCTGCACCATATAACAGCTAAAAAAAATGACATTAAAGCAGTCCTCTTCTCTCAGTATGTCTTTTGGTTTTAAATAGTGCCGCCTGGATTCATGGCAGAAATAGAAGAGCCTTCTACTGCATTCCTTTCTCCTTGCTCGGTAGTGTGCATGGCACTTTCAAAGATTACTATTTTCTTTTTATTTCTTTTATTATATAAAGTTCACATTCATGCATTTGAATGACTGCATGCTTTAATCTCATCTGGACACAGAATTCATGATCCTTAAGGATCTTATCCTCAAGGCCTTTGTCTGTCTCTGTGTGCTGGGTGCACGGCTGCTTCTGCATTTTTCTGGAAACTGGAAACTGAAATTCACTTAAATGGATCTCGTCAGTTGGTCTCTCACCGCGATTGATAACATTTTTTCAACGATGAGAACGGGAGAAGGGGCTCCCGGATGCCCCTCCGGGACAGACCCAGTTGGACACATCATGGACTCCTGAAAACAGTGGAACTTGATCTGTCTATCTCAGCTGTCTGTGGAGGACTCTGAAGACGTGTGGATATTCGTGGTGTTGGTGTCAGGTTTCCTGCTCATTGGCCTTGGAGGCTACCTGGCTTACCGGAAAATTAACGAGCTGTCGAGGAATATTGGCCTGATCCCGGAGCTCAGAGATGGTTTGCTCTGCGCTGTGAATTCACAGACTCACATAATTGTCGAGATGAATCGTAATCTTAGGACTTTGGCGGAGATTCATTTTTTGGCACAAAAGCTGGATGCCATCAAGGAGAGAGTGGACGAATCAGCACGGATTGGGGTAGATTAATGTCCATTATTGGGATTCTGAGAGGTTGAGGACCAACAAACTGTAAGACAGAGAGGAAATTATCTCTGTCTGGCCCCAAAACAATTTCTAATCGGAATCTGGCGCCCTTGAGCCTGCAAGGCTCCAACGAAAACTACCCTCTCAGAAGATCTGTGGAATGTGCCGTCGCTATGGCAACTCAACTCCGTCTCCTTTCCCAGCCTGGGCGGGACTGCAGGAAGGCCGCTGAAACGTTCCAGGGTCACTGCAACCCTCCAACCCTCAATGCTCCTCCCCCTATCCACACTGAGGTGACATGCGCTGCTTCTATCGTGGCTGCAGGAACTGAAGTGGGGATAGTACCAACCCACCGCCCATCCTAGTGGACACTTATGTTGTGTTGTCTGAAGTCTGTTGCATATCTGTCTGAGGTGTTTGTTGCATAGCAAAGCTGCCCTCCTGGTGGAGGGTAACTCTGAAGTGCCTTTTTTTCCCTCCACCTGAACCAATCCTCATGTAAACCCCTCTTATCTCTATTAAGGTAGCGCGACTCAGGGTTGCGAATGACCACAGTCACCAATTCATATCATGTGTCTTGCCCGTGTATGTCTGATCTCTGAATTGTGTGTACTGAAACTCTAATTTCCCTCTGGGATTAATAAAGTATCTTTGATTTGATTTGATTGATTTGATGATCAAAAGTGTCATTCTTCAGCCATCCTTGTGCATTGTCTGAGTGTCTGCACAAGCTCTAGGTGGATTGCTGAAATTCACCAAAAACCAGTTTCCCAGATGACAGTGATTGTTTTAATTCACTTGCATGAAATAAAACAATCTTTAAAGCAACTCTGCTGATTTGAAAGTAAAACAAAAATCTGTTAGTCTATTGAAAATACATTGCATTGAGTTGACTGCTGAATATCATTGTTTTTGGATAAATCTGTAACATTTGCAATTAATTTTTGCATTCTTTGTAAAATATACTTTACACCAAACAAGTAATAGAAAAAAAAATAATTAAAACGGACAAATTGTCAATGTATTTTAAAAGAAGAATAGACAGTTTTGGCTTGCTTTTAGTACCCCCCAGTGTTCGTTTAATAGAACCAAAAGCAAAACCCACCTGCTTCCTGTGCGTTTGTCTTTTTAACACCTTAGTCTAACAGAAGGAATGTCTCCTCAGCCTTCATTAGTTTCTACAGGAGTGATTCATCACTAAATTAAACAATCAGCTGTGTTCATGATCTAAAACAAGCAGGAAACTTGCTGGAAGCAGACTGCAGCGCCAGGTATGTCAGCTCCATTTTTTCTAAGTCCCAGCAGAGCGGCCCGCCAGTCTGAAGTTGCAAGAGGAATATTCTGGCCACAGGGGCCGATAAAGGCTGGGTGGCCTTTCATGAACCCTGTAAAGGGTCATTTTAGCACATACTGGCTCAAGAAAATGATTTAAAAACATAAAAATTTTGCATAGTGTCTCTTTAACATTGTGTTTTGCACAATTTTCTTCTCTCAGGGAACATTTTTATTCACTAATAGAGTAAAAAAGAAAATGAAAACACGATTAACAACTTTTTAAATACAACCTGGTGAAAGAGAGGGCTGTGAGTGATGGGCAGCCCAAGAGCATTCAGGCACATCCCCAGCACCATGTCATCCGGTGCGTCGTCGCTGTAGCACTTGCATCCACTGTTCAGGATCCGGACCACAGCCTCCCGGCTGAACACCATGCTGCAGCAGCACAGCAGACATAAAAATAAACTGACCTCATTCAGTGTATCTGCACTGTAAATCACCAATCTAAATGCAAATGTCAGAAGTATGTTATAGCTATCGTTCTAGGGAGTCAAAATGTGTACAACGTTCACTCAGGGCAACAGGGTAACTGCAAACTGACACTGGTTTGAAATGAGAACAAATATGAATAGAAGAAAAAACTTGAAACTGTCAGGAAAATCAATCAATGCTCGCACCAATTCTTTCTGAGAACTCAATTTGAGAAAAGTGACATAACAGAAAGAAAATGTGTCACAGCTACAGTGGGGTTCTAGCTTACATTCTCCTACTGGGCTCACTTTAAGTTCCTCATTTAGTTTGTGTAAAAACAACAATAGAAGAATGTAAAGAGTAAAATCTATTCATTCTTCTCATCAGCAGCAAAGCATCATGGCAGTCCAGGATAAACCATTTGGACTCGAGAGACCACAAAATTACAGGAGAATTGCAAGATCACATTGGATTTCTCCTTAGCATCAATGAATGGAGATGGTGGTGTCATATGTGTGACGCTCCGGATAAAAGCCCCTTCACCCGTGCTAGAAAACACACCAACGCTCTCCTGAAAAGATGAAGGGAGCAGATGAGCTTTGTTCACTTGTAGTGGCGTGACGTTTACATGGTTAGGGAAATGCTAATCTGCAATTGTCCGTCAACCCATCCATCCATTTTCTTCTTATCTAAAGTCGGGTCGCGGTGGCAGCACCCTAAGCAGGGAGGCCCAGACTTCCCTCTCGCCAGCCACTTGGGCCAGCTCCTCTGGGCGAATCCCGATGTGTTCCCCGGCCAGCTGAGAGACATTGTCCCTCAAGTGTGTCCTGGGTCTTCCTTTGGGTCTCCTCCTGGTGGGAAGTGCCCAGAAAACCCCCAGAGGCTGACCAGGAGATATCCTAATCAGACACTTGAAGCACCTCAGCTGACTTATGTCAATGAAAAGGAGCAGCAGCTCTACTCCAAGGTACCCCTGGATGAAGGATGGATCCTCATCTTATCTCTAAGGCTAGGACCGGCCCCTCTATTGAAGGTACTTATTTGAGTAGTCTTTGGTTGCGGTTCAAATCTAATGGCCATTCAGTAGTGGTTGGAATGTAGATAGACCAATAAATCAAAGGTTCCATCTTCACTACAACAGACTGGAGCAAATACTGCAGATCCTCTGTTCCATCCTACCGTCACTCACAAACAAGAAACCAAGATACTTGGACTCCTCTGCTTGAGGAGTAAGAGGGATAATCCATTAGAAGTTAAATGATCGCACATTTTGATAATACAACTTTTCTTGCATCGATCAGTAGTTTGTATTTGTGAAAGCAGAATGAGCCCTATTGACATTCTGTCTCCTCAAAATTGGCTCTATTGACACTATTCTGTTGTAATTTACTTCAGATATTTATCGACTGCCTTTCCCGTAATGAAGCCTTAAAACCCTTTAAAAACCCGTCTAAATGAAGTTGAAACGTTACGTCTTTAAATTATAAATACATGTTTTCATTACACAGTCTTTCATTAATTTTCAGCCTCTTCATCATCTTAAAACTCACCCTCCACCTCCTGTGATGTAACTGTAGCCTCCCTGGCTCAATCCGTAGCCGTATCTCTCTCCGAGACACACGGGCTCGGAGGGGTCGTAACAGCTCAGCAAGACTCGAAGTCGGGGGAGGCTGAAAAAGGCATCACACACATTAACATCACAGACTAAAGCCTGGTTTATGCTTCTCCGTCAGCTCCGCAAGGGACAAACACACACGGATTGACGGAAGCGTTTTGCTCTCATACTTCTCCGTCTCCTGGAGAGTGTTGCAAAGCAATTGCCCAGTAGAACAACAGAGGGCGTAGCGCTGTTCTGTGGTATCCTGTCATGTATCGGTCCAAGATCGTGTGTTTATATTGTGTTTTTTGTGTATATAAGAGACTTTTAACACGGACATATTTGTCTCTCATTCTCCCACCGCTTCATGCGCTCCCCACCTCTAAACCCACGTTTCCTGTCATTTCCGTCCACAAATAAAACGCTTTCTGTGCATCTTTTCACTCCTCCAGTCACGGTAGGATGAAACGTTCATATTTTTAGAGTTTTTTCGCGAGGTATTCTTCAAGCTTCTCAGTGTCTGCCGCTAGTTATCCTCGGCTCTCTTTGCAATGGCGGCGCTGTAAACAACAGCGGCGTCCTGACCAATCACAAGCTTGCGTAATCCGTCTCGTTCGACGGATGTTTAAAAAAGTGGGCTCGACTCCGTACGTACTTGCGTGCCTGCCGGATCCCTACGCAAGGACGGATAATTGCGTTGCGTGTCTCCGCACTGACGCAGACGGAGAAGCATAAAGCCTGGTTTATGCTTCTCCGTCAGCTCCGCAAGGGACAAACACGCACGGATTGACGGAAGCGTTTTGCTCTTTTACTTCTCCGTCTCCTGGAGAGCGTTGCAAAGCAATTGCCCGGCAGGACAACAGACGGCGTAGCGCTGTTCTTTGGTATCCTGTCATGTATCGGTCCAAGATCGTGTGTTTATTTTGTGTTTTTTGTGTATATAAGAGACTTTTAACACGGACATATTTGTCTCTCATTCTCCCACCGCTTCATGCGCTCCCCACCTCTAAACCCACATTTCCTGTTATTTCCGTCCACAAATAAAACGCTTGCTGCGCATCTTTTCACTCCTCCAGTCACGGGAGAATTAAACGTTCATGTTTTTAGAGTTTTTTCGCGAGGTATTCTTCAAGCTTCTCCGTGTCTGCCGCTAGTTAAACTCGGCTCTCTTTGCAATGGCGGCGCTGTAAACAACAGCGGCGTCCTGACCAATCACAAGCTTGCGTAATCCGTCTCGTTCGACGGATGTTTAAAAAAGTGGGCTCGACTCCGTACGTACTTGCGTGCCCTACGCAAGGACGGATAATGGCGTTGCGTGTCTCCGCACTGACGCAGACGGAGAAGCATAAATCAGGCTTAAATCAGGCTTAACACTAAGTGACTATGAAACTGTCCATTTAGCTGCTGGAACTGCTGTCCCTTTGGCATCAGCCAGAGCCTTCCGCATCAACGGGTGACACAACCAAACTGAAAGCCAGTTGGAAGTAAATTTATGTTGTGGGCCTTTCAGATGTTTGAAAGGATGTTAACATCTCTCTGGATTTAGTTTTCCCAAACCGAGTGTTACTCTCTATCGCCGTGCAAACTTTTTCAAAGCTAAGAAAGAATCTGTTTGAAAAGTTACGGATATACGTCAGTCACATTTTGAGACGACCGAAAGACATTTCAACGGAAAATGTTCGTTGAAGCTGAAAATGTAACTGGGAGGAAGAGATTCTGGTTTTTTTTTTCACATCATGAAATCACACCTGATGAGAGTGTCATCATCCACAACGACGAGCCACTTGGTGTTCGGGACGGCGTTGCTTAGGAATCTTTGAAGGATCGCAAACGTTTTCCCACAGTGGCCTGCAAACAAAGACGTGTGTCAATAGAGAGGGCGGTAGGACTTAATTACATATTGACCTTGTGTGGTATTGTGGTCTGCAAAGATAAATGAGCCCGTTAGGAAGAAAAACACCCATATTCACATGTGCACATGCCTGGGTACGTACAAACACATCAGCAGGACAAAGATAGTCTACAAATTATATCCAACACTGAAGAAATGTAGAAGAAAAAGAATGAAAAATAGTCAAAAGTATTTAATAGTACCAAGTAAAATATTATCTTAGAAGCTTATTTGGAAAAAAATAATGAAACGTAGGACTACTGTGCCAAAACCTTGCAATGTGCACTACTTTGCATTTGCAAAGCACATTTGCTTTACAGTTTTTGTGCATCGTAAGCATAAACATGCAGCAGTTCAGTTTTCTCCTCAAGGACACCTGAACAGCACATTTGGTGCACACATCTGCTACTTCACAGATCAAACAAGTCAAGGTTTACAAGGCCCTTGCTTTAAATTATTTATATTTTTAAAGATTTCTAATGCAAAGAGGTCTTCAGGATGTTTCGATTTTGCCATTTGCATGAAAAACGTCTTTTTAAGCTTTAAGAATGAAAAAGAAATCAAAGTGTTTGAACGGCCGAGCAGCAAGATCAAACTTATTTCAACACGTTGGACATGATGGTAAGATGGACCAAAATGCTATTACCTAAAAGGAAAAAAGTAAACAAATGTGGTGATAAACAACATTAGCCAAAAGATAAATCATACAGCAGAATTCAGATATCCACACAGCACCAGGGCTCAGAGCCGAGGCACAGAAATCCCTGGTGGCATGCATCACAAAGAATCCTGAGACCCTACTGTTTTATTTATAAGAGACCCAAGGTTTTTTTCCTTTTTTCTTGGTATCTGAATACGGAATAAGACAGGACGTCCTGACAGGAATATAATCAGAATCTGACACGTTTAAAAGGCAGATCTCCACACACGGCTGGGGATCTCATATCTAGGAAGGCGGTTAGAAAAGTTTCAGATCCTTAACATAAAGTTTGATGTGGTGAAAAATATTAAATGACCACACAAAACTCTTAACGCCATAATGTCACAGAAAGCTCCACTCTGGGCTCAGATATTAAGTGATTAAATTTGTTTTCTCCACACAATAAAACTTTCTTATGCTATAGTTTCAGGGTCTTGTATCATTGTTCCCATCACTTCCTGTGCTTTAACTCTAGACTGCTGAGTTCATTTCTCCATTTTCCATTTTTACTTTGTCAGGAAATGTGTTTTCACCTGACTTTATTGTATTTTGTTCCGGGCGTTAAAATGACCCGATATGAAACTTTATTTATTTTTCTGCTCCTGTGTATACACCACTTTTTAAAATGTAGTTTGGTTCATGTATGAAAGCTAAAGCATTTAAAGAGCAAGTCACCCCCAGACCAACTTTGTTTTGCTGATATATATATATATATATATATATATATATATATATATATATATATATATATATATATATATATATATATATATATATATATTAGGGTTGGGAAAATTAGAGCGTTAATTATGTAACGTGATGAAGGAGCTATTCCTCAAGGTTATTTAACTTTTTCCACAGTTGCCCTTGACACAGCGCCAGAGTGCATGAAACAGCCTCAAGGTCATGCATTCGCTTCTAAACTGTTTACTTTCCAGCAATGAAGACAGAAGATGAAGAGACTCGTTTCTTTTATCAAATCAAAGAACTCTATTTTCAATAAAGCTAATCAAAACAACTGTTAGTCAATAATACAATGTGACCGATCTGTGAAATCACAATATTATGATTAATATGTTTTAATAAGAGACTGACTTATTCTAGTTCACTAGACACACTGACACACGTAAGGAAAACAATCACATGACACATTGCTGTACTGATCCAATCAGAACCTTCCTAGTCTGAAGCGTGACATAGTCTCTGTGGTGTTTATAAATCTGCCAGCTTTGATTCGTCCAGAATCAAAAACATCCAGATTAATAAAACAGTTCCAACGCCATCTTAAGCTCAGTTCTCAAGATCCCATGAAGTTCATCGCATGCTAAGCAGAGTAATCGGACCGCCCTTTCTGTACTTCTCTTTTTAAGCTGAGAATCATCAAGCTGGGAAAATTCTGTTTGTTACCAACCAAGCAACGGTACCTTTCAGAATAAAAGCTGAACTCGCGGACCCAAGGAGGGTCCCCTTTTTGACGCTGTAAACCACCTTTTTACCTGGAGGTTATCCAAAGACTGGTTTGTCGTACTGTTGACGCTGTTTCATCGGTTCCAGTACCAGAGGAGGGTCTTGGACCTGGCATCCAGATCTGTACGGTGGTCTCAACTCTGAGGGTATGTGGATGTGACAAAATGGCGTCTCATGTGGTTATGAAGCTATTCTGATAAGTTAGGAGCAAAACCTCATACCCCACTCAGACTTTGTTTCTACGGATATGAGGGTTCTGAATGACACACATTCACACACACCATACATCTCACACCACATTCAAACAGAACATCCATCATTAGAGAGTTAGTCTTGTTTAAATTGTTTACAATTATTTACAGGGATGTGTATTGTTGAAATTCTGGCGATACGATACATATCACGATACAGGGGAGACGATAAGATATATCACGATACATTGCAATACATTCAGTCAGATGGTACAAGCAATTTTTTTTACTGAATTTATTGTAAGAATGTTCAACAAACAGACCAAACTGATACGTAACATGTTTAACATGAAGTATCTGACCCACGATGGAGGGATTTACATTTCAATGGTGGAAACAAAACCCGTTGCACACTGTTGCCAACTAGCAGGTGGCGATTGAACTGCACAAAACGAAAAGAAAATACACAAATGTTTGCATGTAAATTCTTTCAAAGATTAGATACATGGCTTTTGAATATCAATGTAATAATCGTAGGAAAAATATCTCGATATATTGCCATATCGATATTTCCAATACACAGCTTTTGAATATCGATATAATATTGCTGGAAAAATATCACGATATATTGCCATATCGATATTTTCTTACATCCCTAATTATTTAGTTATAAACCATCTTAAACGTTTGAAGGTCTCTCTCTCTCTTCTCTTGTCTCTAAGTTATTACAAGGTGTCATCTAAATCCCTGCTTTAAAAAGATCCAAACTTCTGAATAAATAAACCAGTGTCCGCAAGATGGATTTCATACTAGATATGAAATTTTAATGTCTTGTGGTCCTTAATTAATTGTAATGAACACTCGTTACAATTATTAGCGTTAATTTCGTTATTTTAACGTGTTAAAAGTAAATGACGCAATTAATTTGACCATCTCTACAACCCGGAGCCACCATTCTCTAAAAATTCTCCATATTTTCCCCTGAACAACATGCTAAACCATCATTTACTGAGCCCGAAAAATGATCAAGTTTCTACCCATATTATGGACACTCAGCATCGAGGATTCTTATGAGGAGAAGATGAACAGAGGCAGAGCGCTCATGCGCTCCACCAGCATCTGCGTCTTGCGCACGGCCACAGTAACATTCTCTAAGCGGCACCACCAAAATACATTTAACACACGATCGTTCATAACTGCTTTGGTACTTTCTGTCTTTTATTCATGCCTGACGCGCATCGCTGCTGCGCTCATCACCTGAGCTCCACGGCCACGGCCAGGCAGCGTTTTTTCTGGAGAACTAGATCCCGCATCTCCCTGTGGCAAATGCAGGACCAGAGACAGACAGGACTAGCCTGGCCGGCCAGACTCGTCCTCTGTTTAATTCTGCACAGAGAAAGAGTCTGGTAACTCACAGGCAGAGAGGCACTTGAGGGGCGGGACTAGGCAGCTCAAAAACAACCAATCACAAAAAAGACGGAAATGCCGACTGTACCGCGCAACGCTGTAGTTTTTTTTTTACCTGTAGTAAAATAAGGCGTCTGGCAACGGCGTAATTATCCTTTTTTGTTTTTAGAAGAAGAAATGCTTTTAGTGCTTCTACTTGTGGTTTTAAAGACATTGAAGTCATTTAGAACAGAGGAAAGAGCCGCAGCGAACTCCACCACTGTCTTCGTTGTTTATGAGAAACTGAGCATAGCCGTGTGTGACGTCCGCGATGCTGTACTTTTTTTTAGCTGTGGTCAAAAATGGTGTCTGGCGACAGAGCAAGCATCCTTCTTTAGAAAAAATGCTTTTAGCACCTCTACTTGTTGCGGTTTTAAAGGCGTGTCCAAGTCATTTAGAACAGAGGAAAGAGCCGCAGCGAAGGCCGCTTCAGTCGCCATGTTCAACAAACTCGGCGTTATGGTGTGTGACGTACGCTACTCTCAGCGCTGATTGGCTCGGTTAGAATTCTCAGGGTGTGGGGTTATTTGAATAGGAGAGTTTCCAGACCCTTTCTCTGTGCAGACTTAAACAGAGGAGGAGTGTGGCAGGCCAGGCTAAGACAGGACAGGATAATAGTCAAATAATAAGAAAACAAAACAAAGAGCTTGGAAAGGAATATGTAGGTGGATTTATCCCACTACATGTTTTAACGTTATAAAGTAAATATTATTTATAAGCTCATTATATTCATATATTCCACACAATTCAGATCACCTTCAAAACTCCCACCCAGGGCCGTATCAAAGCATTTGGGAGCCATGCCAGCGAGGTGTCCCTTATTTATTTTTTGGGGAGTAGGCAGTCCTAGTTCAACTGATGCTGTGGAAAATGACATTTCCATTGAATAACATAAGCTCACTGTGCTAGATTTATTTCCTGTTCATTGTTTACACAATAGACTTTTTCTAACAATGTTTTTGAACAGAAACTGGATTTTATTTTAGGTTTTCTCTGTTAAAGACAGTATTCAGTGATTTAACACACAAGTAAAAGCACAAAGAATGCACTTTCAAAATAAAATGAACCTCTTGTATATTTTTGCATGTTTATTGCTTGATTTTTCTTGGAAAAAAGTAACTGATTGCGATTAATTATTTTCAGATTTTCAATT